AGTGCCCACGGCTGTCGACGAGGTGAAGGCGGGAGGATTAATCAGGAGTCTACGACCGGGACCTTGTCGGACGTCGTTGGCAAAGACGCCCGCTCGAACTTATGAGGAGGTATTGAAGAGGTGCAAAAAATACATTAACCTGGAAGAAACGGAGGCCGAGTTTGCCAAGCTTGAAGAGGTGGCAAGGCCCGACCAAAAGAGGGGAAAGCCAAACTCACCCAGGCGGGAATCGCCCAAGAGGAATCCTCAGAAGAGTGGTCCGTTCAGGAGATCGTCGCCCAAGAGGGATGGGCGAAATTCGTTTCAAGGGGGACGGGAGGATCGTTGGCAAGGGCGACCGCGACTACCCAATGGGCAGAGATATAACAACTTCACTCCGCTTAATGCCCAGATGGGTGAAGTCCTAGTAGCCATGGAGGAAAAGCTGGATGGTAAGGAAATCACGTGGCCAGCGACAAGATTCGAGGGACCGACCAAGCCAAGGTCGGGCAGATACTGCAGATTCCATAGGGATTATGGACATAACACGGCGGACTGCAGACATCTGAAGGACGAGATTGAACGATTAATAAGAGCAGGACATTTGAAGGAATTTGTCATCCAGGATCGACCACGAGGAAAGGAGAAAAGGAAGTGCAGGGAGGAGTCAGTGATGAGAAATGACAGGGACGATGATAGAGAGGATGACGACAGGAGGGAGAAAAGGAGTCGAGACAATGATCCTCGAGAGGAGCCTAGGAGGGAGCTTCCACTAAAGAGAGGCACCATTTACATGATTTCTGGGGGGCCCACGGATGGGGACTCGAACAATGCACGAAAGGGACATGTGCGAGCGGCAAAGCGAAAGAGAGAGGAAGTTGGGATAACTGGTCGAATGCCGGTGATTAGTTTTCGAGCAGAAGATGCAGAAGGGGTTTTATTGCCCCACAATGATGCGCTTGTTATCACTGCAGAAGTGGCTGGTTTCGATGTGAAGAGGGTGTTCATCGACACAGGAAGTTCGGTCGACGTCATGTTCTACGACTGCTTCACGCAGATCAACAAACACCTGAATCTGGAGCTGAAGCCGGTGTCGACGGCCTTGTACGGTTTCAACGGAGGAGAGGTGATGCCGATGGGTGAAGTTAGCCTAACTATGGCGCTGGGATCGGGCGACACCAGGAAGGTGAGGATGGTGCATTTCGTAGTAGTAGGAGCAGAGTCGTCCTACAACATCATATTAGGACGAACAGGATTGAACGCGTTCCAAGCGGTTGTGTCTACATACCACATGACGATTAAATATCCGGTGGGAGAAAATGTGGGCGAGGTTGTTGGAGACCAACTCGCGTCGAGGAGTTGTTACCAAGCCACCGTTAGTAATAACAAGCAAATGGCGAGGAAGCAGGTGAAGAGGGGGGAAGATGGACCTGATCGACCAGGGGGATCAAGGTCAAAGGAGGAGAAAGGGTGGCAAAGCAAGGGAAAAGAGAAAATGGACATGCAACCGGGAGGTGAGGTGGAGGAGGTCCAGATGGTAGAAGGGAAAGATGATCGGAAGTTTAGGATTGGGAAAGAGCTGGAAGAACCAATCAGATTGAGATTGGTGGAATTAATAAGGGAGTTTGCGGATATCTTCGCATATACAGCAGGGGAGCTAACGGGGATAGAGGCCAGGGTGATTGAGCATCGACTGAACATTGATCTTACTGTGAAGCCGGTGAAACAAAAGAGGAGGCACCATGGAGCGAAGATGGACAAAATAATAGAACAGGAGGTCGAAAAACTCTTAAATGCTAGACATATTAAGAAAATACAATTTCCCGAATGGTTGTCCAACACAGTCATGGTATCTAAATCAGGGGGGAAGTGGAGGATGTGCATTGATTTTCGCGACCTAAATAAAGCATGCCCGAAGGACCTATACCCATTGCCACGGATCGACCAGTTGGTAGACTCCACGGCAGGATGTGAACTCCTCAGTTTGATGGACGCCTCGCAAGGCTATCACCAGATCCCTTTGGCAAAGGATGATTGGAAAAGAGTGAGTTTTATCACGAGCAAGGGCACCTATTGTTATGTGGTGATGCCGTTTGGGCTGAAGAACGCTGGAGCAACCTATCAAAGGCTGGTCGACCAGATATTCAAAGATCAGTTGGGGAGGAACATGGAGGTGTACGTAGATGACATGATGGTTAAAATCAAAAAGGAGGCGGACCACACAAGTGATTTGAGGGAGACTTTCCAAACACTAAGAAGGTACGGCATGAAGCTTAACCCAGCTAAATGCTCATTTGGGGTGAAAGCAGGGAAATATCTAGGTTATATGGTGACCAAGCGGGGAATAGAGGTGAACCCAGAGAAGGTGCGGGCCGTCATCGAGATGAAGCCACCGTCCAGCGTGAAGGAGGTTCAAATCTTAACTGGTCGAATAGCTGGCCTAAGCAGATTCATTACCAAAGTGGCCGAGAAAAGCAGTCCTCTGTTCAAAACATTAAAGAAGAGCTCGAGATTCCAATGGACAGAGGGAGCGCAGAAAGCTTTCGAGGAACTGCGGGAGGTATTGGTGAATTTGCCATTGCTAGCTAAACCAGTGCCTGGAGAGGAGCTCATACTCTATATATCTGTGGGCGAACGCGCAGTAAGCTCGGTACTGTTGCGCGAGGAGGGAGCAGCTCAGTTCCCCATATATTATGTTAGCCGAGTGATGCAGGGAGCGGAGTTGAAGTATTCAGAGATTGAGAAATGCGCGCTGGCGGTGGTCATGACAGTCAGAAAATTACGACCGTACTTCTTGAACCACAGGGTCAGGGTGCGGACGAACATGCCCTTAGCGCAAACATTGGGTCAACCAGCAGTATCAGGTCGACTCGTAAAGTGGGCGGTCGAGCTGAGCGAATACTCTATAGTATACGAGCCGAGGAGGGCGATTAAGGCCCAGGTTCTGGCCGATTTTATCCAGGAAGGTACAAAGGAGGAAAGCGCAGAAGGAGAGTGGCAATTGTACGCGGATGGCTCGGTGTCGAGAAGCGGGGCCGGTTTGGGGATAGTCCTGG